GCAACTGTGTAAAACGAGAAAAAAATGGGGGAAAACAAAGTGAGTTTCAAATCCAAACCAAGGAGTTCTTCTCTTGCTTCTAACTCATAAAGTTCATGGTTACCATGATGTAAACTACTTCATACACCTGCTTAAAAAAAAAAAAAGTAAAAAACACCAGTCTGAATAAATTAGCACATTCGAGCTACAGAATGCTCCCAGATCACCATTTGGCTCTAAATCATGACAATTTCCAGGAAATGATGTCAGAATTTCTTATCTATTTAATAGATGAAAAAAAAAATGGAGACAATGACAAAGTTGCTCTGAATCAGTGTCTCCTAAATCTCTAGATGATCAAAATTACCCGGAAAGTGATATTTTTCTTTCTAAGTGCTCACTCTTAGTATTACCCCAAGATTCTAGGTTTAGAACGAGATGGGAAGTATGTATAAGCCCTATGTGAAAGGCATGTTTCTGTGATCAGAAAAGTTGGATGAGATAACAGAAAACAGAAAGTGTGTTCTTCCAACATTAGGGCAATAATAGCAGAAGGCATTGGAGATTGAGGGTTGTATTCTCTATATTTCACAAGGGTGCCCAGGAAAGTGCAGGGCAAAATCAACTTGTCAAATCACTCAAATCCGGGCAGGTAACTAGGTTTTCTTTACTGCTTCTTTTCATTCTAAGCACAAGAATATTTTCATTAGCCCATCCAAAAGAATACATGAGTGTCTACAACATAGGAAACCTCAACGAATTCAAATCCCACATTTCAAGAATGAACATCACTCCTTTGAAACATGAGGAATTGAAACTAATTTAGATTTATATGAACAAAAATACTATTTTTCCAAAAGGAATGTAATATTTAAATGAATAAAAAAATTAAAGATGTTATACTCCCCCTTTTTATCTTAAAGTAGATTCATTCATCTATTCATTCAACAAATACTTATTGGCTGCTAAATACATATAAGATGCCAACCGATACACTGAATGGCTTGTGATCAAAGCCAAGCTTGTGTTAGCCATGGGAAAGCTCTCTCCTCGTTGTCTCTTCTTCCTAAAGAGATTCCAGTTACAAACTCCAGAGAGAAATCCTGCATGAAAATTAGGTTTCCATAAAAGATAGGACTAGCCTAATGACCCATTTCTAAAACAGTGCAATTAGTTTCAGTACTTCTCTACATAAAGGAAGCATTAAAAGCAAGTGACGGAACCCTGCTTTTTTATAAATTCCTCTTTATGGCATTCAAAATGCAGTTTTTCTCCAATTTCTGAAAAAATATACAGTGAATGTTCAATTAGTGGAATAGTGAATTAAAGGATAAAATAAAATAAAACCAAGTGCTTCTTGTGCCAATTAAACACGCTATGGCATTGTTCCACCTTTATGCTACGTTGGGGATGTTTCAGAACAAGGGTTGGCAAACTTTTCCTGTCAAGGGGCAGTTAGCAAGTATTTGAGGCAGTGAAAGTCATCTGCCTCTGGTGCAACTACTCAGTCTCATCGTGGTAGGTCAGAAACTGCCAACAACAGTACATAATGGGCAGGGCTATTTTTGGATAAAACTATTTAACCTTAGCGAACCTGGATATAATTTTCAAGTGATAAAAATATTCTCCTTTTGATTTATTTTTAACCATTTCAAATTGTAAAAACAGGCAAGGGCCTATCATTTTGTGATCCTTAAAACAGAATACTGTAGAAGATAAAATATTATCTAAAACATTACTGGATTTATATTATTTATAATATACATACATTATATATATATATACACACACACACACACACACACATACACACATATATATGTTAAAAGGTACTATCAAATATCTTCTAAAATATTGCACATTATGTGCCAGCTCTGTAGTCTAGTGATTAAGGGAACTGGATCCCACATGGCTGACCTTGGTTCAAATCTTGGCCCGGGCGGCTTGAAAACCATACCTGGAGCATGTGTGTATGTGTCCCAAATTGTGACAGGATAAAGAAATGGAGAAGGAACTGCTGTGTGACTGTGTCCCACTGGGGAGTGCTTCTGCCTTCTCTATCTCTCTCTGGCAAAAGTACATGCTCTCTGGGCAATTAAAAAAGAAATTGCATGATACCAACCATACACCTTGAGTTCCAATGTCAAAATACTGAGGCATAAGCTTGGTAGTGTCTTTAAGACTGACGTTCTTCTCAGTCTGTTATAAATCCTATATACAACATTTTGTATCCAAAGGACGAAGGCAAAGTATTTTGAGTGCATCTGTTACAATACACACAGGGACTCAGCATCATCTTATAAATAATTGATTTTACCTAAATCATTTATGTCTCTGTCAGGGGTCATTTTACTTGTTTTATATGAATAATTAAAAGCATAATTAGGGAGCTGTACAATCTGAAACATTAATCTCATTTTTCATTTTATAGTATTTCTCACCAGAGCCCACAGCATGTTACATACACACACGCTTCTTCCAGAAATGGCTTTTATTTTTGTTTACATATAAAACTGTGAAGAGAACTTTCCTGGCTATCATGTAGACGTTTCCTGACAACCAGTGATTAGAATGCATTGCTTTGAATCAGGATGGACCAAAGGCAGTTACTAGACAACATGGAATGTCTTAGGCAGTAGAGCTCAAATGGTAGATGAAATCCCATTTTTGCAATTGATAGCAAGCAGCATGATCCAAGGTTACCTAAAACTTCACTGTGCCTCAGTATCCTCCACTGTTCAAATAGCAATAATAATAATGCCTACTTGGCGAGTCTACTCTTTTTGTTTTTCAAGCTTGTTTATTTATTTTATAAGTTAAAGAAATGGAGACAAAGATTCAGAGACAGAGAACACTCAACAAGTGTTCTTGTTAGTCCACCATAATCCACCCCCAGCTTCAGCCAGTCCTGGACCACTTGTGCACCTGGAATGTTTAGGAAGATGTCTAGACATGAACCTAGAACCTTCCCATGTGGATCAGTCTCGCAAAGTGTTGACGTTGCCTCTGTAACGCACTGTTTGGCCCTAGCCAGGTTTTTTGTTTTGTTTTGTTTTAAATCTCTTTAAAAATTATTAGTATTTGCTATAAGGAGCATGTGCTCACCAGAGAGAGAGACAGAGAGAGAGAGAGAGAGAGAAGGTACGCCCCAGAGGATTGACTGTACCACAACCCCTTCTCCTCCATTCACCTCTAAGATTCTGAGCACACACAGTGTCAAATAGCATTGATTTTTCCACTTCCAGAGCAGATAAAAAGTTCTCATTGTAAATCAATTTTCTGAATTAAAAAAATAGATATATCAAAATAAAAACTAGTAAGTAAATAATGCTACAAGAATACATAAAAAAGAATTCTGATTTTTAAAAATAACATAGCACTGAGACTTGAATCCAGATAAGGCAAAAATTAGAAAGGTGGCAAACAAATAGCTAAATATTGGAAAATGAGAATGTTGTAAGTTTAAATGTCTGTGTTATTCCAAAAGTCATAAATTAAAATCTTAATCCTTAATGTGACAATATTAGGAATTGGGGTCTTTGAAGGGTGACTAGGTCCGAGGGTGGTGTTTTCATGAATGGGATTAGTATACCTTTATAAGAGGCCAGGAAGCAACCCCTTACCCTTTCAACCATGTGAAGACACAGCAAGAAGGTGCCATCTATAAAAGAGAAAGCAGGTCCTCACCAAACACTAAACCTGCAACTTCCTTGATCTTGGGCTTCCAGCCTCCAGAACAGTGAGAAATGTTTGTTTCAGTCATTCAGTTTAGGGGATTTTGTTATAGCAGCAGGAACTAAGACAGATGAGACAGGGATGTGAGGCAGGAAAGGTACGTGTGAGTGGACTGTCTAGAACTACCCCTCCGGTGCCTAAACTGCTAACTTGGATTGTATGAAACCAAAGCACATGATGGAGCGAGATGGAGGAGCCGAGGCTTCCAAATTTGGGGCTTAACCTAGGATCCAAAAGTCCACTGTAGCAGTTAGCCATGGACTTTAGAGCCTATGCCCTGTTGGGGTGAGAAGTAAAATTCAGAGTATGGGTGCACCTATGGAGCCTAAGAGCTGGATTTAAGCAAGTAGGTCTGACTCTTAATCCTAGATCTTCCGCTGTCCATTTGCGAGAATATCTCTGTACCTCTTGGAGCCTTAGTGTCTGTTCTGTGTAACTAGAGTAAGACAGCTGCTACATCACAGGTCTGTTAAGACAGTCATAAGGGTTGACAGATGAACAATACTCAGAACTGCAACTCATATACAACATGATAGCATAAAGCAGGTAGTCTTGTTATAAAGGGAGTCCTGTTATCCTAGGGAGGTCATAGCTTTCGTTAGGTTCGCTGTGTCCAAGGCTCCTCCTCCAGGCTGTACACGGGGGCAGGGATGAGTAGGAGTGGTCATACCTTGAAGAAGAAATTTGTTTTCTCCTAAAAGGATGCAAAATATTTTTTTGTCATGCTAAGACATTCCATGCTCCATAGTAAACTGCCTTTGGTACCTTCTGTTTTGAAACAGGGCAGTGTTATCAGTGGTGATCAGAAAAATTTTACATCAGAGCTGGAAAAATGCTCTCTTCCCAGTTTTCTATGTAAATGAGGCTCACTCTTGAAGGGATGAGTGAGTATCTAGGGATCATGGGATTCTTTAGAAGACACCCATTTAAATTACAAATTAAATTCCATTTTTATATAATGCAGGGCTAAAACATTACTGATTTTCTTCTAGGCTTTGTCTTTCAGCTTTAAGGATTTTTATTTGCTTCTGAGTTGTTGGGCTCAGGAATGCGTTAAATGAACAAGTTGGACTAGTTAACCCTTTAACTATAGAAGATACGACACAAGGGACTCTAGTGGACAGTTATTTCTGACAAGAAAAGGGGCAAACTAAAAATGCCCTTCAAAGTTCAGGGTAATTGGTTAGGTAAGTTTCTGTCTATGCAGAAACTAGCTCCTACCATCTGACCATGGGAGGGACTTGGGCTGTGTGGA